AGCCAATCACAATGCATGACGTCATTGGTAAGAGACGGATCCCGAACACATCTGGTACCGACACCGGCTCGAGATACACTTTTTGTTATATTCCTTGGAATGCTCTTAACATCCCGATAGCAATGAATATCTGAAGTGCTTTTCAGAAAATCCATAAACAATGTCATCTGTGGAAGCCGTAGCGCTGTAAAAAGCACGACCAATCATCTGAGCCGGCTAAAGTAACTGGATGGCCTACCTGCCTGTCAGCCTTCCATCTGTGCACAAACTTATCTCGTGCCCTCATTGGTCATGTGCGCGTTCGTGTGTGTTGGAGGAGGGGCTCTGTGAGGAAGTGGAAGATTTTCTCCGGCTGTGTATTTTCAAATTCTAGCGCACTCGAGCTGGTTTCTCCAAAATGACCTACCCCACCTTTAATGAGTCGGTTTTTACTTCATCATTAAAGCATTGGCTTGATGTGTGTCTGGATCCTGGTCCTAATGATACCTGAGATGCTTTATAAAGTAATCTGATCGTCTCTCGTGTCCCACAGCGTCTCTCGGGTCAGGGCTACTGTTTCTCCGCCTCGCTGCCCCCCATGCTGGCTGCTGCCGCCATCGAGGCCCTGAACATCATGGAGGAGGACCCAGGTACGCTCTCCACATCTCCGTCTCCAAGGAGAGCTCTTTAGATTGAATAAGAAGCAGGCATGTATTCCGGTTTCTCATCTATGCGTCTTCATCTGTTTTTCAGATATCTTCACTGTCCTGAGGGAAAAGTGCAAACACGTTTACAAGGCTCTACAGGGGTGAGTTCCCCCGCATCAATGAGGAGATAATCCCTCTGTTGATAAAGTCTCTCTGTGTTCATTTGGAGCGAATAAATGTCATCAACAGAATGAAGTCTCCACTAGCACCAAGATGAATAATGTGATCATGTGTTGTGCTAAGCAGTGCCTCCTCTGTGCCTCTGCCTATTACTCACATGATCCTCGCAGGACTTTGAAGATATAGTCTCCTAAGACCACACTTTACTCTGGTGCCTTATCCTGGGTCAGAAGTGATTCTGCTGTTCATGAAGCAGAGTTCAGGAGTGTGGCTACAGCCAATGGGACAGTCAACATACATAGTTGAAGGTTTGGTAAATGCCCAGTTAAATCACATGACTTAAAATCTACATCAGGGGTCTTAAAAAGTATTAAAAGTTGATAAATCAATTTAGCGAAAATGAAGGCTATTAAAAAGTATAAACGGCATTTTCTAAGGTATTACATTTTGTAGCTTGTTTTCAATAAGTATATAAATTGTCCGAATGTAATCATTGCGTAGGTGTGTAGTGTGATTCTGTGTAGTTTATTTATGGCATCCCGTTGGGTTTGACCTCATCTGAACAGGAAATCGCACGCTCACTGCTTGATAGCACGCGAAGGTCCGTTTACGCCGGTTGCTCAGCAACATCGTTATGGGGAAATGCAAGTCTGCGTCCAAATGGTTGGAAGATAAGGAGGAAGGACAATCAATACTGTATATAGTCAATGTGAGGTAAAGTGTGTCGCCAAGGTAACCGGTTAAAACTCCAAGTGGCGATGAGGTCTTAAAAGGTATTACATTTGACTTCAGGATTCCTGCATATATGTACATGAACAAAAAGGGGTTAATCCACAGAGTGAGAGAGGACTCTTGTTGATAATACCATAACATAGAGCAGGTTACAGCCTTTTGGAGACACTAGAAATAAACAATCTGAAATGGAAATAAAATGGCATTAAAAAGTAAACAAATATACATGTGGGAATACAAATGTACAGTAACAAGAAATGGATTCTTCAATATTAAATTGAATATAATTGTCAAATATACAGTGGGAGTTTAAGTCCAGTCCACAACACATCTCCACCACCAGAGGGAGGTAGTGGGACAAGGACACAGATCACATTGATATATGTCATGTGGTGATTTTTGTTTCCTGCTGTGTGACAGAACTCCAGGTCTGAAGATAGTTGGAGTCCCGTGTGCTCCGGCTCTCCACCTGCAGCTGGAGAGGAGTTCAGGCTCCAGAGAGTCGGACATGCGGCAGCTGCGCTCCGTCGTAGAATACGTAAGTCCTCTTTGTTCCAGCTGATCATCAATGATAGCATCTTTACAGGTCACCTATTATGCAAAATCCTCTTCTTCATGTCTTTCCTACATCAACATGTGTCCCCTCTTCTCCATGTCTCTTCTACATCAACATGTGTCCCCTCTTCTCCATGTCTCTTCTACATCAACATGTGTCCCCTCTTCTTCATGTCTCTTCTACATCAACATGTGTCCCCTCTTC